TCGTCCGTTCAGGCCAGCTCAGTGCAAGCAAACAAACATGCCCTTCCTGTATAGAATCCACGTGCCCCTAGGGCGCGTTTGGTTCGTTTCTCAGTACAGCTTGGCTCGCGTGTGGGACACAGGCCCGCAGGAGCCAGGCTACGGTGGTGCAGTGTCCATTCGTTTGGATGTCTGCATCAGCAAAGGCTGGCCACCCGCAATGCATGTTTGGTTGCCAGGATCACACGAAAGCACATGTCGGGAAACGGATTTCATTTTCGTTTCCAGGGAGCTAGGCCAGCGGAGGAAGATTGCTTGCCATGGGCCAGGCCAAACCAGATAAACAACCAACCAAACATAGGTTACTCGCATCTCACGGCCAGGCTGAGGGAAATATAAGCAACCAAACCTGCCCTAGAGTACATGCTACACACACAAAAAAACCACTGCAGCTGCTGGCTTGTTGCCATGGCCTCTTTAGGGGTATTTGGCAGGGCTCCAGAGCCCAACTCCAGGCTAGAGCTGGCTAGAGCTGGCTAGAGCTAGCAAACACCCCAAAAAAAAAAGTTGAAGCAGCCCAACTCCATGGAGTTCTTGGAGCTCTAGGTCATTCTCTTGTAGCACCTCTTTTTCAGCTCCACAACACTCTGAAATAGACTTAGACATGGAGTTCCAAGAAAATTACCCACCTTTGCCATCGATTACACACTCCAACCCAGCGAACCGTTATTTCTCTGTCCGCCCCCACTCGAACCCTATCCACTCACTACCGCGGTGGCGCGCGACTGCTCACCCCGCCGCCTGCTCGCCCACCCCGCCGGTCACCGCCGCCCCCGCGCCTCAATTCCCCCGCCGCCCTCGCGGCCGACCCTACACCTCCATTGCCCCGCCCCCTCGTCGCCCGCCGCCCGACGACCTGCTCCACCTCCCCCAACCCTACCCCTCGATGAGAAGAAGGGCGCCGTCCTCATCGATGGCCGGCGTCCTCCGCATCGACGGCCACCGCCCAACGACCTGCTCCGGCGCCAAACCCCACCGGCAAGCTCCCCCAACCCTGCCGTGAAGACCCGCCCAGATCTGCTCGCCGTGCAAGGTATTCCATCCCCATTTCTATGTTGTGATTTGTGAAGAATGTAGTGATTTGAGAAGAATGGAAATGAAAAATATTGGTGATTTGTGAATTAGGCATGAATGCTTGCCTACTGTTATATGATGTGCATAGCAGAAGGAAATAGACATGTGAATATCTATGCTTGCCTACTGTGGATTGTTGAACTAGCCATATTGCTCTGTAGTTCATGTTAGCAAACTGTGCATGTTCTGAATGCTTGTGTTGAGTTGGCATAGATGCCGGAAATTGATTGGAACGTAGAGAACACTCGGATCCTATGTGGTTTGATGGCCGAACAGGTTGAGAAAGGAAATTGGCCAAATACATCCTTGAATTCAACTGGTTATGCTGCGGGTCAACCGGGAGCTTTGCATGACACTAGTGTACTGTACCATGCAATAGAAGTGGATGCGGAAGTCTTCCCACATCCTCCACAAGGTACAAATATTACAAATATTTTGCATGCTCAATTTTTACCTCACATTCTTATGTTATTTTTCATATGTGTAGGCAACTACTATGATGTGGACGCGAGCTATCCTAATCGTCCAGGTTACCTAGCTCTATACAAGGGTGAAAGTGTATCATTTACTTGAGTGGCATCGAGGTATGGAACCAAATACTCCAAAAGAGAAGTTCAACCGGATTCATTCATCTATTCATAATGTTATTGAACGTTCATTTGGAGTATTAAAGATGAAGTGGCAAATTATTTATAAGATGCCTCCCTATTCCATGCTCACACAAAAGAAGGTTGTAGCTGCTACCATGGTTCTCCACAATTTCATACGTGAGCATGCTAGTGGGGATATGGACTTTGCTAATTTCGATCGAGATCCGAACACTGTGCCTACTATCCTAGAAAGGTGCAACAAATATGTTGTGTCTCAACATGACTCTGATGGATCCACTTCGGAATCAAGCTTTGTGACTATGGATTCATTTCATGATAGTTTGGCTACATCCGTCGTCTTAGCTTGGAATTAATGTGACCATATTTTGAAACTATGGACTTGTATCTCAGATTATTTGGTTGGACATAATTATCTTGTAATATGTTGGTACTTTAATTTATTTACATGCTTGTCGGACTTTGCATCTCTGCGTAGTAGTCTGAAGGAATATGTTCTCGGTTGTCCTAGAAATGATGATCCATACACTTGAGCTAAGCACTACCTGAGGACATACGTGTCACTGTTTTGCTGCTGCACGCATCATTGAAGTGCACTCATGTCAACCAAGGGCAAAGTGGACAATCCACACTGACAAACCATAATTCTAGAGCTGAAAGTACCCCTATAGACAGCTCCAACCTTACTCAGAGCCAGATCCACCTGAAGTTCTGGAGTTAGAGCCGCTCCATCTGGAGTTAGAGCCATGGCAAACACAGCGTTTATACGTTGCCAACCCGGTATCCATCCAGTGTACCGAAACCCAAGTATGCAGAATGCAGTAGCACTAACAAAGCTGCCTCGGATGGTCCAGTGCCTAAAAAGAAGGCCCGGCTGTAGCATAAGTTACGAACGACTCGGTCTATGTTACACCCAAACCTACCTATGGTTAAAGGTTATAGAAGGTAGACTGGACGCCAAATGTCATCAGGGGATGTAGCTCAGATGGTAGAGCGCTCGCTTAGCATGCGAGAGGTACGCGGATCGATACCCCGCATCTCCAAGTCTTTTTTTTTCATTTTCCTTTTTTTCCCTTCATTTTTTTCCTTCATTTTTTTTTCAATTTTGGTTCACTCATTTGTGGTCGACTGGCCCTCATCGAATCCGAACAATTTTTCCAGATGGTAGAGCGCTCGCTTAGCATGCGAGAGGTACGGGGATCGATACCCAGCATCTCCGAGTCTTTTTTTTTCATTTTCCTTTTTTTCCCATCATTTTTTTCATTTTCCATTTTTTTTCCTCCATTTTTTTTTCAATTTTTGGTTCACTCACTCGTGGTCGACTGGTCCTCGTCGAATCCGAACATTTTTTCCAAAGCGCCTCTCTTGTTTCCACCACACGTCGCTCTCTATGGGCCTGGGCGCCTGACTCGTTCATCCATGCGGTATCGACGAAAAAGCGTCCGTACCCGCGAGTTGACAAACGATTCCCTGCGTCTGCGTGCGTACCTGAGTTGACGAACGCACGCTCATCGTCTCCTTCCCTTATCTTGTGCCGTATCCGTAACCGTATCGTATATTCTATCTTGTAGCAGTGCGGTGCCGGTGCGTCCTCCAGCACGCATCGCACATTCGCGCTAGCGCCGTCCGGTGCAGCCTGCACATGGCCAGGTGATAGACAGGCCCGTCGACTGGTGCCTCCTATACCAGATAGAAAAGGAGCGCAGGCGCAGGCGCAGGCGTTCCGCCACCCACCCACGCGGCCACGCCACGCGAATAGCCCAAGTCCCCAACCCGACGCGGGGAACGGGATGGTTCCACGGCTACCGTGCTTCGCAGGAGACCAGGCCCCCATGCGAGGTAGGACCGATGGAGATGGATCTCCGCCGTGTTCTGCTTTGGGTTAGGGCGGGCACGGGCTGAGTTTGGACGGCACAGGTCCATGCAGGACCAGTAGGGGAAAAAAAAGGAAAAAGATTAGTTTGCTAGGCTGCTTTGAGATCTGTGCTACTTTTTTAGAAAAGGAGTATTGGAGCAGTTCTAAATTTTCATCTAGACAAAATTTTCATCTGGCCTCTCTTGACTCTGAAATCAACTGGATCCTCTGGTCCCCCAAATCTATAATGAAGTTTTTTCCAAACCAGCAAGCAAGGCAAGGGATCAAACCGAGACCGAATCAAAATTAACACATCCATCCAAATCCAAACCCAATCGGACTAAATCTAGAAAGACAACGACTTATAAAATCAAATTAATAAATTTGTTGTTTTTTATGCCAACCTCCACAGCAATCACCAAAAGTTAACGAAAACCGATTCCTTCTCTATCCATACTCGAATCGATCGAAGACGAAATCAGAGAAAGAATTGAATCAACCAAATCATAGAAAGAATTGAAGAGGACATCTAGTGATATTGGAGGCCGAGCCGTCCATCAAAATCGAGGGGACGGAGCCATCCATCAAAATTGAGAGAGATGCAGAGAGACGGATGAGAGAGATGCAGAGAGGCAGGTGAGAGAGGTGAGGATGAGAGAGCAAGGCGTGTGAGAAAGTTTGGAGAAAGAGTTAGGGGAGGAGAAAACCCTACTCTCTCTCTCTCTTATATATATATATATATGAACCCGATAAGGTGGAATGGGCCCATGATTTCTTTGGGTCGCTGCCTATTAACGGAGAGGGCCTCTTAAGAGGTCCACCTCTGGAAATGTCCTCTATTTTTTTAGGCGGATCTATTAAGAGGCAACCTCCGTAAATCAATTTTAGGAGACGGTTATTTTGTCACCGTCTCCGTAAATTGATTTTAAGAGACGGATGTAAATTAACTGACTATATCCGTAAATGTATTTTGTGACTATCTCCATACATAAAAAATCCGTCTTAAAAAGGTCCGCCTCTAAAATTTATCGGCGCCCGTTAACAAGGGCTTGAATTTCGTGACCTTCTCGGTCGTCGTCTCCAAAATCATTTTTGCAGCAGTGGGCACCGCCGCCCACGCGCCCCAGGCACCACCGCCCGTGCGCCACCGACCGCAGGCTCCAAGCTCCGTCGCCGAGCGCTCCAGGTGCCGTCGACCAGGCGCCCCATCCCCAGGTAGTACCGCCCGTGCACCCCTGCTACTTCTCTTGCTTCCATGTATTGTATCCAGCTCCGCCGCCGGTGTGCTAAAGCTTTATATTTCTTTCCTCGTTTCTGGCTAGGAATTTGGGTTCGGATTCAGTCAAGGTGTTGCTGGTGAAAGTGCCCAATAATTTGCTTCATCGTTTCCACTGGGCTTTCCTATTTCCTCTCCAGCTTGAGCCATGAGTGAACACGGTAAGTTGTTTTTTGTAGTGATGGAAAAAACTGTGCACCGGAAATTTGACCAAATTTTTGAAACAATGGCATGCTTGCGCATCACTGGTATTACTATATGTATAGTTGAGTAATAGACTGTGCATACATACATTCTCCCTCCTGTTTCTTCAGGAAAAAAATAGTACATGGGTTTTTGTTTTTCCCCCTGAATCTTCCTGTATAATAACCAGATTCATTATCGTACCATCAAACCATTTGCAGAGAAGAAGGGCAAGGGAGCACATCTGCATATAGAAGCCATGATAGTTTGTGTGTCGCTAGTTCGCTACTGAACCAACATCTGCAGGAACAAGGAGAGCAAGGTGAGTAGTGAATTTGACTTTTCTTGGTGTTGTTTGTATTCCTACTTAAGTGAAAACAGAATTAGAAATTGTTAATTGCTGAGTTTACTTGGTGCTGAACTAGTCTTTGGTCGTTTCCAAAAATCAGAAAGTCAGGTAGACTAACTAGTAAGTGCTGAGCTTTTGAATTTTAGCTAGGAAATAAGTATTTTTTTGTGCACTCACTAGTCGTAGATTTGTTCATGAAGGCTGAACAAAGAAGGCCTTTCTAATGTTAGCTAGGAATATGAATTCTGGTTCACCAAAATCAGCCTTTGTACAACTAATTTCAGGTTCTGCATAGACTAGTAGAAGCTGCCCATGCATCGTGTTCCAGCAAATGAGCCTTTTGTTCTTACTAGCCAAGTAAAGCAGGTTTATTATCTTCCATATTCATGCAAGTCTGATCCGCGCCTCAATGAGTGGTGGGTTGCATACAAGGAGGATTTAATCCAGAATATTTTGTTGATTTCACAGAAGAGGAATACCGAGATCCTGATGACTTTTAGGGAGAGAAATTATTGGATAAATAATTATTAGGTAGTTGCATACTTTTATTCTATTTTCAGCAAATTATTATTCAATTTCAGATATGCAGTGATGACGATCTCACATCGAGTGACACGTAGTCGGTCTTCTGGAAGTTCTGTTGCAAGGGAGAACACGACTGTAGATCATAATGAACCTGCTGATCCTTCTGCAGCAGATGAGCAAAGAGGAGGTCACTTGCGAGGTAGTGCAGAACTTCCCCCAATCATTCCCAATGAGCAAGATCGTCCGTTGATTGAGCCACAAGGAAACTCATGAGTTTCTCAAATTTCCAACACGATTTTAATGGAAATCTGCATGCATATGACATGTGTTAATATAATTGTTGGTTGATACGTAAAGGCACTGGACTGAAGTGAAGGGAAAGACTCCAGCAAGTGTGTTAACATGTCTACTGAAGACCTATCATCCTGGTTTGGTTGAGTACAAAGGCAAGACTGTGGTGGCATCGACATGGAAACATTATAAAAGCAGCAACAGACTCATCTGGGAAATCTACTGCTGATTTTGTTGTTGAGGGTTTTTGGGTAAATTTTGTCCACTAGTTATGCACTGCTCTATTTAAGTACCTCTAGTTTAATCTGCTGCTCTTCCTTTCAGTTCCAACTAATGAATCACTAATTCTGCACTTCCTTATTAGTTATAAATGTTTGTTTTGTACTTATAATTAATAATTTTGCAGCAAAGATTTAGATTTAGTCCAGCCAAATAAGCTGATTCAAAAGAACATGTTGGAGTGTGTTGCTCAAGCCTCCTAGGGAGCATCATAAATTATGCAAGAATTACTGCTACAATTGATCATTTTCACGAAGTGGAGAAAACAAAATTTGTGACAAAATTGCTGGACAATTCTACTTGACATGGGAGGAGTATGTTGCTCGATGCCCTACTTGGTGCAAACAAACTTGTTGGGAAGCTTTGGTGAGAGAGTGGAGTAGTCCAGAATTCAAGTAAAGATCTGAGACAAATCATGCAAATCGCTACAGCTGTAAATTTAAACCTCACAAGGGAGGATCTAACTCTATTGCAGCAATAAGGCAAAAATTGGTTAGTGTCCAATTACTAAAATTCTGCTGGTACTTTTTTTTACAGTAACACTATTATTTTAGATTCTTTTTGTTATAGTCGAAGAAATTAGGAAGAGAAGTATGTGATATCGAGGCATGGGTCCATCACATAGAGGTTCAAATCCTGAAGATATTACTTCACTAAACACTGAAGAAGCAACTGCATGCTTGGTAAGTGCAAGATGAAGATCCTAATACTGCAGTTAATATTTTGTTTGGTTGATGTTAATATTTTGTTCCTTATGATGGCACCATGTATATAGTTTTTATTTATTTATTTGAAGCAAAAAATCCACTCTTCTTGCTGATCCTTCTTACTTCTTTGGCAACTATTCACACATTAATTTATATGGGACAGGATAAATACAAAGCTAAGGCCATTGAGTTAAATGGACCAGATTTTGATTGGTTGCATTCTCCAGTGGTTGCTAGAGCTCTTTATGAATGCTCTTGTGGTCGCCCACATGGAAAATGGGCCACATTTAATGGGATGATCAATGACAAAGAATTCCTCCCTGACTTAAGGAGAAGTCATGCTTGTGCAATGGCTGCTAGACGTCAACGCCAAGAGGAAGAGGAACGATTAAGGAAGGAAGCTTATGATGGTCGTGCGGCCAAGGAATATGCCCAAAGTATGTTGGAATGGGGTAGAATGGTGCATGCTCACTATGAGAACATCCAAAAGTTTATGGAGGTGACATCTCACATGCATCCTTCCTTATTCATCTTAGTAGTGCCAATGAGCAACTTTTTAATTAGTATACATTGGATTGGATTGTTGAAATGCAGAGTGTTGTTCAGCACACCGGTATGCCTGCAACGATAGTTCCTCCTCCTCTGCCTCCTCCACCCGCACCTCCTATATATGCCAATTCACCACCTTCAAATCCCTTTCCCAACAATGTAAGCTTGGTATGTGCATTATTTGTTCTCTCTTTTTTCTTTTTACCTTGCAAGTAACATAGGCACATGTCTTTGTTATTGCTGTGTTTGGTAATTACACATTCCTTCGTAGAGAGGGCAGAACATTTTGTTTGCTAATCAGATATGGCTAAGTAATGTCAGCTGTAATGTCATTCACAAAATATATTTCAACTAGTTTATTTTTGGCTTAATAGTGTCAGCTGTGTATAAACAGCCTATGTTTGGCTCAGTAATATCAGTTGTACATCGCACAGGACATGGAAGTCTGGCATTACCTTTCAGTACAATATATATTGAAACATGTTATAGTTTTTTCCTCACACTTCCACTTATGTAATTGATTTTCATGTTTAATTGAATAGGCTTGTACTGATGGCTCTACCGTTGGAATAGAAACTCCTGATGAAACGTCGAGTAGAATTGCTCTTGGAAGATTCCGTGGCCATGAAAATGCAGCAACTACAAGTGGTGGTGGTACCTACTCTCCGCCGCCGGATGAATTTCCATCCTTTTCACATCCAAAACATGGCTTGGACCACATGTAGGCATGTTCTGTTGTCATAACATGCATGGATGACCAGAACTCCTTTTGGATCTAGTGTTTGATTGTTTTGATGTTTAGTAGCCGTAATGTATTAGTGAACATCATAATTATATTATGATAATGTAATTCTCATTTTACGTTGATGTGAACATCATAATTGTACGTTGGAATTCTCATTTTTTGAATCCATGGGCCCGGCCTACTTTGATGTGAACGTTGCGGGGGAAGGTCCAAGCATAGCCGGGACATGTAAGTGGGGCCAAACCCAAACTTGGGTGGTCAAGGCCTGCCCTCCTGTTTTCTCTCCCTCGCTCCTCACACAGGAAACGTGGGTGATCGATCATCTGCTCGCTTGTTTCGTTTATGGCGATCAGAATGAAGCTGCCAGCTTCTTCAATTCTTCTCTTCCTCTATTGTTGCATAAGAAAAAAAAATGATGATACTATGAACTAGCTGAATCGGTATTGTTGGAGGTGACCTTACCTTATTTTAAAATATGAAGGAGCGAAGGGGTCCATTTTAGGCCCCGTTTAGTTCGGGCCTTTTTATGGTCAAAGTGTTTCATCGATTTTTGCGGCATGAGAGGTAGATGTCTTAAATATAGATGAAAAATAAAATTAATTGCATAGTTGGGTGAGAAATCGCGAGACGAAACTTTCGAACCTAATTAGTCCATAATTAGACACTTCTCGCCAAAAATCTGAAAGCGAAAGTAAGATTTTTTCAAACCAAAAATTTCGCCAACTAAACACGCCCTCATGATGGATGTGTCGGGCCTTGTATGGCATGGTCCAAGTCTTTCGTACTATCAATGCAATTCTCCTTTTTCGAGAAGTGAAACCGTGTGAATTTTGACAATCCACCACGCTCCTCTAGGAAGCCGTGCTCCAAGCTACTAGTACCTGCCTAGAATATGCCTGCTCCATCGACCAGAGTACACGCTACACACAAAAAGATAAACACTGCGGCTGCTGGCTTGTTGCCATGGCCTCTGTATACGTTGCCAACTTGGTATCCATGCAGTGTACGGTGTACCGAAAACCCAAGTATGCAGAATGCAGCAGCACTAACAAAGCTGCCTCGGTTGGTCCAGTCCCAGTGCCTAAAAAGAAGGTCCGATTGTAGCATCAAGTAACTAGTGATTCGATCCATGTTAAGCCAAACCTATAATTATACGATTATATAAACTAAACTGGACACAAAATTCAAACAGGGGATGTAGCTCAGATGGTAGAGCGCTCGCTTAGCATGCGAGAGGTACGGGGATCGATACCCCGCATCTCCATCTATTTTTTTTTCGTTTTGTTTTTATTTTTATTTCTTTCTGTTTATTTTTTATTTTGTTTGGTTCATTGATTCCTGCTGCTTTTATTCGTTTTGTTTCTGTTTTTGGGTTTAGATATGCTTTTTTTTATTTCATTCATTCACTCCTGCTGCTTTTTTGGGGGTTCAATTCATTCCTCTGGTCCGTTCTGCTTTTTAGGTCATTCATTCATCTCGTCCAAATCGAATCCGAACAATTTCCAAAGAACTTCTTTCGATGTGTTTCTGCTTTCCTTTTTCGGGTTCACTCCTCATGTCCTAATCCTATCGGAACATTTTCCAAAGCGCTTCTATTGTTTGAAGCACACGTCGCTCTCTTTGGGCCTGGGCGCCCTGCAGGCTCTCGTTCATCCATGCGGTATCGAGACGAACGCTCATCGTCTCCTTCCCTTATCTTCCGCCGCGACGACGGCTGGTGGGTCGCGTCGGCGTCGCGGCACATCCCACCGTCCCGACCCACACCGCAGATACTCCTCCTATACCTACCAGATTAGAATTAGAATAAGGAGTCCAGGCGCAGGCGTGCCCCCACAGTTGCCACCCACTGACCCCCCGCCGAATTCCCGAACCCGACGCAGGTAACGGGAACAGATCGCAACCAGACCTCTCCCCACCGCGGAGTGCGCAACGGCACAGCAGCCGAGCGCCGCATTACACAGTGTCACGCACACCACCACCACCAGTCCACCACCACAGCCACAGGTCCACAGTGTACACCGCCGGTCCGCCGCGCAGCAACCGAGGGAGGCCGGGAGCGGCCCCGACAGCCCGCACTCGGCACCACCACCACCACCACCCCCTCCCCCTCCCGGGCGAGCGGCGATGGGGTCGAGCATGGCGCTGGCGCTGGCGGGCTTCTGCTTCAGCGTGCTCTTCATCGTCTTCGTCTGCACGCGCCTGGCCTGCGCGCTCCTCCGCCGCCGCCGCCGCCGCGGGGCCCGCTCCCACCGCGCCGCCCCCGCGCTCCCGCAGCACTACGCCCACGACTACTACGCCGACCCCGACCCGTTCCCGTTCCACGCCGCCGCCGCGGCCGCCTCCCCCGGCCTCGATCCCGCCGCCGTCGCCGCCTTCCCCACCCGCGCCTACAACGCCGCAGCAGCACGCGCCTCCGAATCCGACGACGATTTCCAGTAAGTCCGCTACTCGTCTCCTTCCTTTCGGTTGATTCCATTCCACTGTGCCGATCGCGATTCGCCCACCTCCCTCCCTCCCTCCCTCCCACGCTCCGCGTCGGCGGGCGATTCCACTCTGTGCCTGCACGCCACCGCTCCACTGTCGCGTGACTCGCGTCCCGTGCAACGCAAGCTTCGAATCAACCCACCGCGCTCCTGCTTTCGCGTGCGGTTCGGTGGAGTTGCCGTTGTTGGAGGGGTACGGTACAACAACTGGAAGCCTGCTATTGCTTGCCGGCGCACGGTGGGCTAGTTCGCCGGTCGCCACTAGGGACTACGATGGAGGGGATTGCAGTTGGAGGCTCGCCCGATCGCGCACGTTTCTGCCGGCAGGATTCGTTGGTGGTTTGCGGATCGGGATGCCGCAACTAGCAACACAGGCTCGTAGCGGCGAGGCCGGCCGGCCCTCGGAGGTGTGGGGGAATGAAAGGAGGGCCGGGTCCACCGCCGGGGATCTGTTCCGGGGTGGAAGGAAGGAATCGGATTGGAAATGGGGTGCCCTGGAACATCTCCGTGTCGCTGTCAGTGCTTACTTGGGTTCTTCTGGATATATTCGCTGTCATGTTCGTTTGGTGTTCTCTCAGAGAGTACAGGTCTAGAGGATAATCAGTAAATGTGGAATTCTTGCTATTCTGGGTGCGAGGCTAGGTTCTTATTGTAGCTGTTTTCAATGAAATGTTGGTTGGAGACTGTACATGGTAGTATAGGCTGATTCAAGTTCTACAGGGTCCTAGTCGTATGCAAGTGATGCGGACACCTCAAGCTAATTTCATAATTCAATGTTATATGGAAAGAAACTTATGGAGAAATCATGGTTAAAACGTACTTGCCGTTTGCTAATACCAGCATATTGCCTGATGCCTGGATCTCTACTGGTGCACTTTGTTAGGTGTTTACCCCCCAACATCTTCGATGTTGCCCTTTGCCAATATGTTTCTGGAAAATCATAAAGCCCTTTGCCAAGCCTGTGTTTGTTAATGTTACTGATCAATCATGAAGCCCTTTGCTAAGCCTGTGCTTGCTTAGTGTTACTGAGAAATCATGAAGCCCCTTGCCAAGCCTGTGCTCCCTATGCTTGGTTAGTGTTACTGAGAAATCATGGAGCCCTTTGCCAAGCCTTTGCTTGATTAGTGTTACTGAGAAATCATAAAGCCCTTTGTCATGCCTGTTCTTGCTTAGTGTTACTGAGAAATCATGAAGCGCCACCCCCATTGGGAGGTTGCCATTGAGGAATTTATTACATTTTCAGTACCATAGAAGTTGTCCTTGAAGATTTTGGTGCTTTGTCCTTGAGGATTTCGGTGTCTACATAGAGAAAATAGTGCTATTGATTAGTACCAGTGCCTTGCCTATTATGCTCTTCTGGTGCTGGATATCGACAATTGAATCATTAAGTCCCTCAGCTTGCATCGTTACTGGACAGTGGACAGCTAAGACCACTTGATCAATCACATCAGTATGGGGGTATGGATGTGTAACTGGTCCCTGAAGATGATAGAGACGAATGATGAAACATTGTTATCAGGTAGTCTAACCTCACCTGTGCTTGATGAAAGGGAAACAGGGACTGGGTTAACAAGTCCTCTGGCTGAATGCGAAGCAGTTACTATTTGTTCCTGATTGATTGAAACATGAACATCAAACCTAAATTTGAAGATTTTGTCATGGTGAGGAGTAGATGTTTCATCCCAATAGTTCTCAGGCTAGTGCCTCATTTCTCATTTAGTCCGCACAAATTGACTAGTGTAAGATAGCAGCAAATCATCAGATGGCAGTGTAAAGATAGCAGCTTCAGGCTATGGTGTTACCTTTCTTAACCACGAATAATTATCCTTTGCATCCTTTGGTTGCATCAAAACTGAAAATGGTGACACCCTGTTGTTTGGGATATCTAGTTTTAATAACTTTTCTTATTGAGATTTATTTTTCCTTTTCATATTTTTAGCCACTGCCTGTTTTGCTGGCCCTGGAACTGAATCATCTTTGTTGGTATTGGCAGGTGCATCATTTGTCTTGCAGAATACGAAGAGAAAGACGTGCTACGTATTCTCCCTTACTGCAGCCATAATTTCCACATGGCCTGTATCGATTTGTGGCTGGAGCAGAACTCAACCTGCCCGGTCTGTAGAATCTCACTGCTTGTGCTCGATAACCCTGAAAGCGAACACACTGCACCTTCTCCTCCCCTTCCTCCACCACTATCCAGCATAGTGATAAGCCCCCCAAGCTCTCCTGAATCGTCGAGATCAGATCCATGCCGCTGCCTGTTTGTCAGCGGTGGGCACTCATCAAGGGCTTCAGAGGCTCCTCCTAGACATGAGCCCGACCAGGAGAATCAGGTTGTATCTGGTCCATCAGTGGATGGGCCTAGCAGCTTGCCGTTGTCTGAAGTTAACCTCCCTCCTGAGAATAACAACCAAACAGTAAGAAAGCAGATGGACAGATCTACCCAGCTAGGACCCTGCAAATAGCAGCTGCCTTGGCGCCTCTTCGCTGCAGTCCGCAGTCCCCGCAGGGTGAACAAGTACGTGTTAAAACGAGAAACATGCACACTGGTGGTGGATGCCTGTTGCTGTTGTAGGTTAGATTTGAGGGGGTTTCGTGTAGATACGAGAAATCAATTCAGGTTTGTTATTGGAAAGAAAAACACACACTTTATTCATTCAGTATTCATGGTCAAAGTCAAAAACAACAAACTGGTATACGGTATACACGTATACCACAAGAGAGATGACAGCAGCAGTGCATTTTGCAAAAGGCCAGTACCCTGTTTGTTGGCATCAACAAATAGGATAGAGGATTAGTTCCATGTGATGAGAGCATTTGAAAACGACATGCTTTTGTGCACTGAAGATTAAAGTCCCTTTGGCACGGCTCATCCAAAACGGGTTGAAGCTAAAGCCGGTGAAGCCAGAAAAACTGGGTTTTTTTGACTTTTAGTTCATTTTAACCTCGACTTACAAAACGACTTCACGCTACAGTGTCTCGATTTGCGCAAAATAGATGAAGCCGAAGTAAGCCGTGTCAAATAGTTCGGGCCTTGTTTAGTTGGCCAAAATTTGGAAATTTGGTTAATGTAGCTCTTTCGTTTTTATTTGATGATTAGTGTTCAATCATGGACTAATTAGGCTCAAAATATTCGTCTAGTAATTTTCAACTAAGCTATGTAATTAGTTTTTTTCGTCTACATTTAATGCATCATACATGTATCGCAAGATTCGATATGATAATTAATGTAGCACTTTTTTGGAAAAGTTTTTGAAACTAAACAAGACATGGAAATGCCAGCACAGTTCTATTCATGTACATCTGCTGTAGGCAGTACTACCATGTGGTCTGAATCCAATGTTCTGTTTTTGTCGAGTACGGCGGCGACGCCCAATCGCTCTCTGAACCTGAGATTATCTGATAGAGCGCGATCAACGTTCCATCTGATACTGGTAACTGGTGTGGTGGTATATAGGTCCTGTTTAGTTTTTAAAATTTTTCATCCTAAAGTGTCACATTGAATTTTACGGTATATGTATGGAGTATTAAATGTAGACAAAAAAAAAATTAATTACACAGTTGAGTGAGAAATCACGCGAGACGAAATTTTCGAACCTAATTAATCCATAATTAGACACTAATTATTAAACACAAACAAAATTGCTACAGTAACCAAATCCAAACATTTTCGCCAACTAAACGCGCCCATAGTAGCACGCTGCACGCACAGTGATGAAGAATTTCTGATCTAGCTAGGGTCAGGAGATCAGATCAGTATGATGAAATCTCTCATGGGAAGCAAGCAAACCCCAATCTTGGAGGGGCCTGCAGCAGAAGAGGGAGGCGAGGGCAGTGGGCATATGGCTGCCCACGCACCGTCGTACGCTCATGTCGGTCGGTCCAATCAAATGATGACTCATCCCAGATCTAACCGCGTCAGCGTGTCCTAAACCAGCAGCACTCTTGCTTTATGCACCAGTCTTTTAACCCTTGCCCGTGCACTGACACAAGTTGGTGAGCGAATTTGATGGCATATATTATTTATATAGGAAAAAATCTACTTAACCCCTCTTTCATACTTCATCTACTTCACCCCCAACTATAAAACCGTCTATTTTACCCCTAAACTTTTCAAAACCGTCTATTTTACCCCCGGACGGTTTTTGACAGGGTTTACTACAGTAACCACGGGTTTGAATTTTCTTTTTTTTATTTATTTTCGGTGAATTTTTAAAAAATCATAGAAAAATTATAAAATAAAAAATCTATTTTTATTGGACTCCACATGAGTAGATCTACACAGTGAATATATAAAACGGTATGCTTTAGTACAATTTTTTTACTGTAGCCTTATATTAATTGAAAAATCTAATTTTATTGAACTCCACCGTTACTGTAGCAAAATCGCTGTAAAAAAAACCGTCCGGTGGGGTAAAATAGACGGTTTTGGAAAGTTTAGGAGGTAAAACAGACGGTTTCATAGTTGGGGGTGAAGTAGACCAAGTATGAAAGGTAGGGTTTAAGTAGACTTTTTCCTATTTATATATATACAACTCATTAAAATAGTATGCTTGTTTTTTTTATTTTATTTCGTTTATTTTCTTACCCAGTACCCATATAGCTACTGAGTAATCAATACGTGGTTGTGATATATTTTAGTGAATTATCAATTAGTCCATCTGCATTTCATCTCCATTCATAATCATCCGTATGTGTTTTCAAACATGTGCTTGAGTTATGTTAGCACTTGTTGCACCCAACTACGGATTTCGGCTTCCCAATTTCGAAATAATTGTAGCTTGTATGATAAATTATTTCGTCTGCATGTTTGGTTGACCCTTGTGCTTGTTATACCTCTTACTGGGTAGCTTGCCCGTGCGTTGCTACGAAATAACTAATAATTTATACTAAAAACACACGGATCGTATGATATGATAACAATACTGTTAAATTAAATACCAACGTTAAAGTGACATTTAATCCAAAAAGTAAAGTTTATGAATTTAACACAGTCACGGAGTGCGCGGCGTCGCAGGCTCACAAACTCTAGAGCTTTCAGAGATTGGGTCGAATCCAACCTAGAGACTCGGAACCCTGCATCTTTTCCTGGACGGGCTTCACTTCGAATGCGACGGTAGCAATATCAACGATCTCCGGTCGATGGACCAAGTCGTATGGATCCCCATACAATGGCTCAGACATGTAGATTTTGTTTTCCTTGTACTTGGATACACTTGTTCCACTGAAGCTTTCATTGAAATGTTTAGATACGAACAGTGTCTGATCACTGATGTCCCTCACCCTGGACCACTCCGGCGTACGGTCATGGATGTTGCACTTATAGATCGCGCTGCTGTAGGTGAAGCTCTGTGTCTCATGGAACGTGCTCACCATGGCACCCACAATGTGTAGCTCACCATTTGATTCCAGGTAGCTGCGGTGAGAGAGCCCCGCAGGTGGCGACAGCGATGGCAACAGCGTCGCGGTTGGAGTAGCGCCGGTGGCGTTGCTGCTGTAGACGGAGATTTCTCCAGTGCAGTCGATCGCCAAGATCTTATCTTGGCAGTGGACGATGTAACAGAATCAACCAAATCATAAGAACGTAAGTACAAAAACAATCACCGAAGCGATCAAATTCCTATACTTAAGCTCCCATAATCCCGGTTGTCCAGAAATCACGAAGGATTTCAACCAACTCTCGACATACAAACCAAGATCGTAGTGATTCAACACAACACATCATCCGTTACAACATTTCATAAGTAGCATTCGGATTACATCCATCAGAGTTCAAATAAAATATTACAAACCAAGTTCAAATGCGCGGAAGCAACATAGTTTAGTACATAACTTCATAGTTTCAAATACATTGCCGGATCCGAGTCATGTCCCACAAAAGCATTATCAGCACGAGAACTAGTAGAGACCGCGCCTAACGGCCTAGTCTTCATCCCCAAATGGGAAGGCAAGATTTGCAAACAACCAAAGTAGAAGGCGGTCATACGCAGCGGTGGGAGATAAACCCGAGTACGAGAAGGTACTCACTAGATTTATCCGCCAAAAACCGAAATAAAAGACACCAAGGATCATGCAAGGCTTTTTAGGTGGGCTAGCTGGACACAGTTGCATAAAAGAGCTTATGATTATAGTAACCAATTTAAACTTAGCATCAAGCTTATCATCATTTATCGGTCCACTAGATTAGTACTTGTACTAGAGCACTCACTTATTAGGAGCAAACAATATTAACCATAGCAGGTATAATAAGGTTGTCATCATCATATCATCATTTCGAACCATTATGTTATTTAGTGCATCTACATTGGAGATAAGCTGTCAAGTTCTCACTAATCGGGAGAGACGGCGATTGAATCGAATTACAACTCGGTGAGGGGTATTCCTAACTCTCACCCCGGCATACTTTGTAAGGGTAGCCGTGGGTCACCTTTGGAACAACTCAGAACCAAATTCATGGGTTCGATCGCCAAGACTCTCGTGGATTACCCTTCCGCCAGACGATTAGGACTTTTAAATCACCTACCCTTGGACTCACGCCACGACTCCCTTCCGAGGCGCACTTTATACTTATCGACTCCCTACCGAGGTGAGCTACTCGGCCGTGGTCGGTCTCCGCACCCGCCAACTAAGAGAGAGGCATGCGTTCAACATGAACAGAAAGGCTCCAAGATTCAGGTCCTTAATCGACCTGAGCACGGAGTCACTTCGCAAACCGGCAAGCCTTCGCCCTTGGGTCTTCATTTCAAATTAAGATTGGTTCTTTTCCACGATAGCAAATATAGCCAACGTGCCACATGTATATTCCTATATCTCGTAGGTGTGAAATCACCCGACTTCTACCGCGTTTAAGCGGTGGCTAAGCACTACACGAGCTCGAGCTACATAGGATTGTGGTAACAATATCTCGGACAAGGATTGGGTAACCAATGTAGCAATTGTTTGTATCCAACACCTAAACTTAATGCAACAATATATATATATATATAATAATAATAATAATAATAATGTAACTGCATTTCGAAAATTAGGAGGCTTAATATGCTCCGGGGCTTGCCTTTCATAAAGTTGCACGGACGGTGATCCGGGCACTCAACGGCGACCTCGTCTGGCACTTCTTCTGAAGGCTGCACCTCCTGAACCTCCGATGTCGACTGCTGCTGCTCACTCGGTTCCTCGAATTACAGCAGGGTCACTCCTTCCGGTACACCTATTGCATGCCGATGCACGAGATAAATATCATGGATGCATAAGGAATGACATGATGCTCATGATGAATGAATCACAGTAAGTGTTTGACGAAAATATTACTGGACACTCGTTTACCGATTAAGAATAGCTCTATTCAAATCACTTTAAAACAGGTATCTAATTTAACTTGAAGAACAAGATCAACTTACCTAACTTGCATAACCTAAGATAAATATGCTCATCTTCAGTTAAAGGCCTAACACCTAGAAACATTACCACAAACTTAGAAATAGTAAAGGCATACCTAAATCAACATTTAAAGCTTCATATGCACACAAATAGTCCCTTAATTCAATCACAACCAGAGTTCTACAATTCCAAATGACTTGCAAGAGGACATTCTGGAAATCTTATGAAATTCTCTACAATTCATTTGTAAACATCAAAGCATGACTCTTAAGTTAACCAAATCAAATTCCAGTAAACCTAGAATCTGTCCCGCAATGACAGGGTTACTAACTTAATTATTTTATGATGACGTAAAAGCCTAATTTGACCAAACCAAGTTTACCAACTTGTTACACATACCAGAGGAACACTAGAAAGTACAATGCCAACTTCTAAATAAATCATTTAATATCCTTTTCTAATTTATTTAGTTAATTAGGTGATTAAAGCAACATATAGTAAAACTATTTATAAAAATCTATAAAAATTACAGTAGCTATCTCATGCTTCACATAGACTATCATAAAAATTTCAAAGCCATTGAGCAAGCAAAACTTGCTGTATCCAAAATAACAGGTGGCATGCCTATTTTTAGCATAATTAGGAAACTCTAATGAAAAGTGTCAAGCAATAGATTTCACATTTTTCCTAGTATCATTCAAGCATAAGAATAGCACTCACCAAATTTTACCTTTACTGGATCTATAGAAAAATTATGAAAATTCATACAAGATCCATCCATTAATAAAAGGAAATTCTATAACTCAAAAACTACACATGCACTAGCTCTGAAATTTTAACCAGAGCCTATACTAAGCAATAATAGATTACCCACAAAATTTCATAATTTTTGGACCACAGAAACTCAAGATAAAATTCAAACAAGTTTGCATGTATCCAAAAACACATTTCAAAGTCCTATTTAATTCATCCAGAATTTCTAAAACATGTGCCCATATAATATTTTTATTAAATACTAGACATTATCATGAACTCAACAAAATTAGAACCATAGCATTTGGATCTACCAACTAGGAGATACACATTTTTGAATCTATACACTAATCTGTGAAATAATAAAAACAAAACAAATAAGAAAACAATCACAGCCACTATTGGGCCGGCCCGAAGGAACGGCGGCCCGCGAAGCGCACTGGCGCGGCCCACGCTGGGCTCCCGCTTCAGTCGCGGTAACTGACGGGAGGGGCCCGCGCGTCTGCGAGACAGACAGGGGAGCGGAGGAAGACGACGGCGCAACTCGCCGCCGGTGGCTCCTCCAGCGAAGGCAACGGCGCTACTGTGTTCGCCTCACTCGTGCGCATCTAGTAGTACCCTAAATGGAAGCTATTGGCATGGCTACCGGGGTTGGAGATGAGCACGGCGGCGCACGGCCGCGGCATGGCCGGCTCCGGCGAGACCCGACCCCGTAGGGTGCGGCTAAGCTAGGGACGAGCTT